TTCTGATACGTGTGCCAGAATGTATTCTGACAACATTTTTTTCACATATGCACACCGAAATTAGAGATAAAAAAATATGTAAGCTGTAAGGAATCTGTACAAATCTCTGTACTCTGGCAAATAATTGGAAAATCACTTAAAACTTGCAATTTGAAAAAAGCCAGAAAAATAATACTTGTGAAGTAGTTATTACAATTTCATTATATTAACAAAATTTTAGCAACATAAAGAGATCCCAATATAAATTGATATTTTGAATTAGACGTGCAATTCTTCCCATACTAGAAACAGTGCCATGAAGATAAAAATAATTTGGTCATTATTTTCTTAAATTTGCAGACTATAATTAAAATAATAGAAACTAAAAAAAAAAAGCCCAACTCAAGTTTTTAACCCCAGGATTCTACATATTTCTAAAATATTTCACTGCCTTAAAATGAATAAAATTTCTTATAACACTCACATAAGAATCATAATACAATTCAATTTTAATATACATATTTACAGCATTTTATTTTGCATGATTTTAATATATTACAATTGCAATAAATATGCAGTCAAGTGAGGTGTTAAAAAGTCTTTTGCTTCAAGTTTTCACAGAACTCTGAATTAAAAGAAAGCTTGAGACATAAGCAGAAATGTGAAAGTCTGGACCCTGCAATTTTATTAGCACAATTTTTTCACCTCATTTTCAGTCACTTTAAAAACTTTTCAAACAGAGCTATAAACTATAAACCCCAAAATTCCAGCCACAAGATAGAACTGAAAGATGACTGACCTGGAAAAGATATAAATTTATCTAGCCAATCTCAGGATGAGGTTTGTTACTCTTTTTCCACTAACAGACACATATTTTGTGGTTTCTCCACTATCAGCATATATTTTTTTCCTAATCTGAAAAGTTTTTAATGACTTAGCCTCCAAAATAGTTTTGATGTAAAAGGCAGCCTAGTAACTTACAGGGTGACCTTAAATAGATCTCAGCAACTCTACAATTATTTTATTCAATGCAGAAGTCAAATTTCATAAAAGAGAAAACACTGATAATCTCCTCCTACATCTGGCCTTTTGGAAATTGTGATTATACATACAATAATTTACTGGCACCAAATATTTAACATTTGTGACACCAAAATAATAGGGAGCAGTAAGGAACTGTAATTTTCAAAAAATGTATTTGCATTACTATTGAATTAACTAAACAAATCCGATATGGTTTTAGTGGAAGTTTTTTCCTCTAGAAAGTAAATAGCACAATTTTCTAATTAATAAAAACAAAATGGAAACTGACTTACAACACTGACTTCAAAATCCTTGTGAAAGTCTGTACTGGTGATGTCACAAATGCTGTCACATCTGAGCAGGTATTGTCTGTTGAAGGTTCAGAAATGTCCATTTTAATGAAAACATTTATTAGAGGTAGTTTAGTTGTGTATTCCGTTTTTATTTTAATGAATAACAGAATTCCTTAAGAATTATGGTTGCAACTCCCTTTAAAAATAATATATTATGTACAATCTAAATAGCTCAAATATAAGGATCTGATATATAATGGATATGGAAACCTATATAAGAGTGAGGGGAAATCCATACTTTATGCTTCCATCAGCCTTTAATAATGATGTTTCCTAACAGTGATGTAACACTCACATTTTCTAATTTGCGTAAAGTTATCTACAAATTATTTCCTCCGAATACTGAAATGCCAGTGATAGAGTACTACAAGACAGGAAACAGTTTCTCCAAGCTTGTAGTTATTTTTAAATTAAACTTTTTAACTTCATGATACTTTGAAGCCATGTATTTTCTTCCATTTCTCCCCACTGCAAAACACTGACTACTAAACAATTACTTTTCTTATGTCAAGAAATCCTCACATCACTGGTCCAAATCCCAGAGACAGAGACTTAAAAGAGATGGGGCCACTTGTTCACTTAGACGCAAGTTGGGAGTATCTGAAAAAAAAAAAACCAAACCTTTTCTTTCTCTCCTTTCTCCCCTTGCAATCTGGGAGCAGGGCACCACCAAAAGGATCATGCTGTACTATGGGATGGGATTTGAGCTGTGTAGGTGCCCAAAGAACTCTTAAACATTCATCTTCCTATTTAGAGCATTTATAGCATAACTATTTATATACTTAAGTTTCTTTTGATGGAAGTCATCTATCTATGTTCTATATTCATTTCTGTATGTGCCCAGTAAAGACAACCAAACAAAGAAAGAAGCCTTCCTAATAAAGACTTACAGGGAGAAAAATAAATTCAGGTACAGAACTTCTTAAAACATCTTTTAAAATTTCATATCTGTGACATAAGAACTAGAACAAATGGCAACAGAATAAAGCTATGTTTTTTAATTCAAATTCCAAAGAGGAGGGGAAAAAAAAAAATCTCATGCCAGAATGAGGTACGAGGACATATGGGCAGTCTATCACCTGACTACCAAACAACAGTACTAAAGCTGACACATGTTTGTTAATCCCAAGAGGTAAAACGCTGCTTTGTCTTCTGGGGGGTGTGCTGTAAATGAGTGACCGTTATGATGCTGATGCATTTTTCCATGCTAACGTTCCCCAGGGAATTTGACTTCCTCATCAGGGAGAAGTGACACAAATTTTTCGTCTTCTCTAAATCTCTTCCATATTTTTGTTTACCAAATGTGCACATAAGAATAGCAAGCATCAGCAGCACAGCTGAAACAGTTCTAACACAACAGTTTTAACAAAAGCTTTTCCTCTGGATGTCTACAACTTAATTCAGTTAATTTTTATACCAAGACTATTTAGTTTTCAGTAACAGCTTGATCTTCTACCAACAGATCACAGTTTGATAGGGAATGACTGAAATTTAGTGACATGATTACTGGTTACAGAAAGCAAGCCTTCTTCAGACAATCTGAGATGAGTAATGGGAGCAATGTTTCACAGAGACCTGGGTAATCTCTAATGTACTTTTTACCTCCATATAGGTCAGAATAAGGCATGGTCATGGGATCAATGATCAGTAAGCTATAGAAACACTCTAGACCTCTAGAAGTTTCTCATTCTCCTGAAATAAGTCTGTTTTCAGACTCTTCCATTTACAACAAAACCCCTCAGAGAATTCCATGTACAATTTTTCACTGTATCTCAGCTGATCCGGCTGAGGAGAAACCCTGACACCTCCTCCTCTTTCCAGTCCTGCAGTCCAGTGGTCTTCCTTGCCTGATATGTCACTTGTGCAGCCCACTATCCCAACACACACAAAAAAAAGGGGGAAGTGGAAAAGGGGAAAAGGCAGGAATAGGACAGTTTCCTGCAAGACCAGATAACTGACCCCATCAGCTGGCTAGTCTTGCTAAATTCATCACAAGGTGGCAAGGGGGATATGTTCCAGACAGGGTCTGTCTGAACCTCCTCCTTCGTTAGCAGTACACCATTAAATCTGATTAGGAAACATCCTCTGGATACGGTTTTCAAAACTTCTCTCTCCCTGACACACTGGGCATCTGTTTAAATGATGTGGTTATGCGACAGGACTGTATGTGTATCTACTGTTGTTTGTACAAGCACCAAAGCAGGCAACATACAACTTCTTGCTGTGGCCCCTGTTTGTAAAAGGATGGTCATGCTGCCCCATTGCATCCTTCATGGGCATTTGCTACTTAGGTAAAAGTGCAGAAATAGTAACGCCCCTGCCTCCAATTAAGAAGGAAAATTAACAGTGACTCACACAATACTTTTAGCTCTCTCTCTCTAGGTCTGTATTTGTGCTACCACAAATACAACATTTTTATTCTTAACCCAGCAATGCTCCACACACTCAAGAAAGTGCCTTTACAGGGTCTTTAAACAACTCTTTATTTAATATGCAAAACTATATTAAGAAATTACTTTACTACTGTGAATCGGTATCTTGACATAGAAAAGCATAAAGGACTAATAGGCTTAACTTAGCATAAGGAGAAAACAAAAATACACAGCAAAGGAAGTATGTGGACACTCCACATTCAATAAGAGAGCTCTAACTGTCCACGATATTGAGTACAAAAGTGACAAGCTGGTGGCGACAGCAGTACCCAGCCAAGAAAGATTACGAAAAACACTAGGAATTACTGTAACTTTACCTTTTAATATTGATACAGTTTATCTCAAACAGCATGTCAGCAGGGACCTCAGTAAAGAGAAACTAGATTTTTCCTGTCTCATTTGAATAACACCCTGAGCAAGTCTTGGACAAATTCTCAACAAGTTCACATTTCATTGCTAATTTAAGTATCGCGTGTACAAGTCTATGCAGGATATTTTGTGATTTGTATTCATGGTATCGTGTACTTTAAGATAAAAAGGAACATCTCATCATTTCAGTGTGACCTCTTCAAGGAAACAGGCCATAGAATTTTCCCCCGTTATGTGTATACTGGTAAAAAACTATTTGGTTTTTTAATATTTACCTTCCAAAATGCACTCTGCATTGTTGTGAGGGTATCAAGATGATCCTCCTTAGTATTTTCCAGATCTGAGCCACCTTCATCTTCGTTCTGTATATATCTACATTCAACATTCAGCCACAGAGCTCCATTATTCCTTACATTGCTACATTAAAGAGCTCTTTACATTCCCCCATTAAGGTTCTTCTTTCTCATGGCAAGGCAATCCCATACCCCTCAAAATCCACACAGGTTCTCAGAACCTCATGTTCTAAAGTCATGCTATCCAAGCTGAAAACATTATCATTTTTCTTCTCTACTATTTCTCCAGGATGTAAATATTCATTTTAATATTAAATGGAAAACTGCAATGGAACTCATAATTCTCATCTCCCTATGCTAATTTATTTCTCTGTATTCTTATGCATCTTGAGAGGCTTCAAGGAAACTGTTTTCTGCAGAATTTGACCAGGAACTCTCAAGAATTACAAGCATTAAACAACCCGAAGATTTTACTTCACTCAAGGGGTTTCAAAATTTTTCAGTTCATGAAACCCTAACTTTTTCCAGTAGAAACATGGAGTCCTAAATACCAAGAGGAGGGCTGCGTCCTATACCCTGAATAAGTTGGCTGGGCAGTAAGCTTTTGCAGACTCCTTCAAAGCAGTTCACAGATCCTTCTGGATCTGCAAACAGGATGGAAACTACTATTATTATTTTTAACTAGTATTAACTTGTTATTTAAAATAGCACTACTTCTCTTCTAGCGGAAAATTTCTCCATCTCCCAAGAATCTATCTGAATGCTTCATGAGTAGGTAAAGCACTGGAGTGGAGGAAAGCTGCTCAAGTAAATCTGATATGGAAATATTCAACATCAACAGAAAAATATAAGTAAAATCAAGGAAAATAGTAAAAAAAAAGGGGGGG